AATGCAATAAAAATAAAATAAACATAAAATAAAAATAAAATAAAAAGAGAATAAAAAAAATAATATATAAAATAAAATAAAAATAAAATAAGATAACAATAAAAAAAACAAAAAAATTACTATATAAAATATAATAAAAATAAAATAAAATAAAATTAAAATAAAATTAAAATAAAATTAAAATAAAATTAAAATAAAAATAAAATAAAATAAAATAAAAATTAAATAAAAATAAAATAAAAATAAAATAAAAATAAAAAGAAAATAAAAATGCAATAAAAATAAAATAAAAATAAAATAAAAATAAAATAAATAAAATAAAAATAAAATAAAAATAAAATAAAAATAAAATAAAAATAAAATAAAAATAAAATAAAAATAAAATAAAATGTAGCTGTTAAAAGATCTGTGAATTCAACAAATTTTGCATACAATCATGGTGTAACAATCTGCTCCTATGCCAAAATAAGAAAAAATAATAAAAAAAAAAAAAACAAATCAGTTGTACTTCTATCAAGCATGACAGGAGATATTGAAAATTCGCGCAGTACCAAGCCACAGATAATCAAATTCTAAAATAAAACCAAAGGTTGTGTCGACGCGATTGACAAAATGTCAATGTTGAGTGAATACACAGTAAAGCGGCGAACGTTGCGTTGGTTTCTGACAATGTTCTGCATTACGATTAATATAATTGGATTGGCATCTTATATTATCTATACAGAGCAAAACAAAGGATCAACAAAGAAACTTCTTGAAGAAAGGTCTTGTCAAACAGCTACGAATGGCTTGAAAACCGTAGTGCGAACAAAAAAATGATGGGTAACTATTTTCTTTAAAGCGCAGTACAGATGTTGCTCGGACAAGAAATTTTGCTGACACCAGAACCAACAACTAGTGCTAAAGTACCTCATGGCGGAAGTGGAGCCACCGCAATTGTTGATAGATGTCATATTTGCTAACATTTGAGTTGAAAGCAACAAAAGACTAGAAAGTCATGCGTGGTTTGCGTGAATCCTGTTTGCGATGAACACTCTATTTCCAATACAGCATTTGTTTCATGCGAAGCAAGTGAAAAAAATACATTATATCAGCGAATTTTCATTTCTTATATAAAACTTTTAATTTTTTTAAATAATAACTTGTCTTAAAATAATGTATTTTCTTTCATTATTTTGTACAGAATATATGAAAGAACAATTGAGCCTAAAACGTCTTTATTGAGATTGAAATCAATTCAAATTCATATCTTAGAAAGTTGTGCAGATATTTTTCTAAAATTTAAAAAATATTATCTAATATTATTGCTGCGATACTGGCAAAAAACGTTATTGCAATTGAAAAATGCAAAAGTTACGATTGTACCTATTCCCTCTGATTACTGAATACTGTTTCAACAAGTTAAAAGGAGATACATACAAATTTGATTACTCAACAAAAGTTTCAGAAGCGACTCGGCAGGAAGTTAGTTACTACAATAACAGTCTGCATTAACTTATTATTACACCCTAAATATTCTCCAGATCTGAAGTCCTCAATTTTTAGTTGTTTCAGTCAAAATTTTCACGACCGTAAAACTTTTATTTGAAATGAAGACTTCAGAATGACTTGGATCAATTTGTTGTAAGAAGTTTGGTTAGCATGAAATCATGTTTTTGCAGAAAAATATTATTAAACAATATATTAATGTAATACTATAAGACAGCAGTATGTAATTCTTACACAAAAATATGACTTTACTTTGTAAACCTAATACAATGATATTGTTACTTACCTTTAACCAGCAGTTGAGAGTTGTGTGAAGTGTTTTCTTCTTCATTTACTTGTAAATTATGTAATATATCACAGTGTTCAGAAATTGTCGATTGCCTTTGACCCTTCCCTATTTTTGGAGATGTTTGATGGCTGGGTATGACTTTGTTATGATACAAATCATTTTGAGTAGGTGATATATTACACTGAGCTGCAGTTGATATATGTATATGATGTGGAGTTATTGAAACGAACTGCTTGTTATTATTAGAAAATTTGTTCACCACTGCAGTAGTTATAGTATCATTCAGTGATATCGGCTGCGTAGGTGTATTCCACCAGTTTAGTTTTGCAATACTATTTTTGTTATTTTGAAAATATTGATCTATATTGGATAATTTTGTATCCAAGGTTGTATTACCAAGATCTTTGTTGTCATTTTGTAATGGCCGCTGGTCAATACTGTTAGTATTCATATTTGTTGCAATTTTCAAAGCTTTATCCTGCAGTGAAGTGCAGTTTTCCTTTGGTAGTTCGTAATTATTATTTTGGTTACTAAACTTCAACAATTCAATTGGTTTTAGTTTATTTAAGTGTTCGGACACTGCTTCATCTAGTTCCATTACTTTAGAAATTTGCACATTTGTTTAGCGCAATCTTTTTCAATTCAAATATATTTAGCATATATGTATAATATACACTTCGATGTTATTAAGATAACAAATAAAACTACAGCTTTAGTAACTAATTAGTACGAACTATAATATAACTATTATTTAATTCACTTTTATCAATATATTTCGCGTTGCTTTTCTAATCAGGTGTTTTCTAAATTATATCTCTTTATTTTGCAGCATATTCTAATGTTGTAAGAGGTAAAACTCAGGAAATGTCAGCTTTGTAATCCTGTTGAATTAAATCCATAGCTTTTCTTTTCAACAAATTTGATAGCATCGTTGAACTGCTCAACACAAAGTAATAAATCGAAAAAGACCTGTTGTTCCACCATTTTTATGCAATGTACACGATAATCGTTTCTTCCAAAAACAGTTCATAAGTGAACACACGTAATTTCAAATATTATTTAGAGAAAGTCCACATTAACTCCGTACATTTATTTGTCAATTACATCAATAACATTTTTCATCATTTGTGTCTTTTTCGCTTTAAGCGTTTTTTATGAAGTTCAACTAGTAACTGTTCAAGTTTCCTTGAAAGGTACTTAACGCTATAATTCTTTTTATTTCGAATTAATTCATTCGAAGTTGTCAATCATCCAAAAATATTTATTATCGATAAATAAAATGCTATTGTTTCTTTCGTATTCGCCAATAGAAGTATTTTTATATACAATTCCCTTATTCCTGGCACAACCGCAAAACCTCCTCCGTTTCCTTTTTTAAAATAAAATTGCTCAACGAATTCTTTCTGTAGAAGGTTTAGTACAAAAGACGCTACAAAAATATTGCTAATGCCGCTGTAGGCGTCATCAATATAATTACGATATAAATTTTTCAATGTAATATGTTTTACAGTTTCTCCAAGTGATGATGATAAAAATGGAACAATTTGTGTTCGCTGTCTTCTGCTAAGCTGCCAATACTGATTTTTTGAACTTTGAAATGAACTCATTACGATAAAGATTAAATTATAAATATATGTCGTAAGTTCGACGAGTATATAAAGATCAAATTAAGTACAATATATATTACAAATTATTTTTATGGTTAATGGTTAATTTGTTTAGTTTTGCGATTGAAACATTAATTTTTTTAACTCCTTACTTAACTGAAATTTTATTTATCATATTTGATGTTTAAATAAAAACTGTGTTTCGTTATTTAAATTACATTCTCTACTCTCGATTATTTCATTTTTTTGTTCAGAGTATTTTAAAATTAAATACTTTTTTGTTTGAAACTTGACGTTTTTAGAAAACTTCATATTCGTTTCACATAAAGCTCTATTCTATGACAATACGCTGTCTTGATTTATTTTACTATCAGTTGAGTACATTTGAAGATATCTGAAATTACAATAAAGTTGAAATTCAGTACTTTGACAAAATTAAATAATATATATAAACATATTTTACTATTTTCACAATAAATTGTTAAATTGCGAAATCAATAATTATTCTTTCAGTGACAGTGACTGCGCATGGTGTATATTTAGTTTATTAGAATACATATATGCATGCTATATGTACGCATTGAAGATATTCTAATGTAATGTAATTCTCAAAAATTATCTACTGTTTTTATATATATTTATATAAAAAAAATAAAAACAAATTTACAATTAATTTGAAATAAAAAGTAATTGTAATTTACTATTCTTCAAGACCATTTCTGTTAAGACTATTGTAATTTTTAATACATGAACGGAACTTAACAGCATCGATCATTTATAAAAAAAAACTACATAAACTGCAACTTTGTTCTGTCTATAATAATAAATTGTTTACTGCAATTTAGAACCTTGTCAACAAAAATAGAATGTTCTTTATCCTATGAAGTTATCTTTAGTTTGCTCTGAAATATGAATCTCTCAAAGAAAGTTATACAATAGTACTTAATAATACAACACATTGGCTACTGCATCATATTGTTTATGGATATATAAACACCCGTGATAACCATGCTCTTAATCATTGTTACTGAATGTTCCATGAGAAAATGTGCAAAATTTATTGCACATATTTAAATTTTCGGGCAACATAACAGAAATAAAAACTCGTAGTTTTGTATTGGCACGTACATATATAACACAATTTTCATATACTAAGGTACTGTAATTGAATATAATAAAGTCAACCGAAACACAATGTTAAATCCATTAGTTACTTCATTTGCAATATGCTGAATTACAAGTACTGTGAACCGCGTTTATGTATCCACTTGTACTTACAGCCTCACTTCTCGATACACGTTAAATAGGACATATAATCCAACCGTTCTGAATTTAACTGCCCTTTAATCACCACATAATCACAATTATCAAGTGACGTCCTTTCTGCACTAATGCGGTTTTCCTTGCAATAAATTCAATATGGTTCCAAGAATTAAAATCGATTTGTTCTGACTGCATAACATGATTGAAAGCGGAACGTGCAGCATAAAAATCGGCAGCGTTTACACTCTCATGCACTCAATAAAACATACGCCGGCTTTTGGAGACCTCTGTTATACTGCGTTTACATCGCAGGGTTGTATAAACTGGATTGTAATAGGCAACGATTTTCACAATCCACGTCAAACTCGTTTCCTGATTTGTTATGATGACGTTCACTATAACTTAAAATTCGCTGTCATCGTTCTTTTCAATATAAAAAGAAGCAATTGTTGAACTGTCAACAACAACGGATATGCATATTCATTTGTAATCAAAATTTCTTATAAAGATGCATAAATATTAATATAAATAGATTTTCCAAAATTTTATAAAGTTACCTAGTTTTAATTAGGAATTATCAACTCATTTTTATAACTTTAGATAGATTTTATGCAATATTTTCATCAGCCATTACAGTATAACATGCAAAATGTAAATATTTGTTAGTAACTGTATCCTTATGCAGTAATAATTAAAATAATTTTCTAAAAAAACAAAAGTTAAAAAAAGGTTTCGCATATATGATTGTAAGCTTCATAATTAAATAACCGTAAATAGGAGTCTTCAATTTATGTTTACAAAATTCTTAACATATTAATATATGTATAATACAACGTTTCCACTACATACTTAGTAAGTTATATAGTAACATTGAGGATTTTGCGTTTACAATATCGTAAGTTACTTACTGAATGGGAAAGAGCTCTTATGTGTCAAAAAGTTATAGTTTTAGAGCTTTTTTGTGTTTACATTTTATTTGTAAACAGATGATATTAAATCCTGTGTTGTTAGAAAGAAATAAATCAGCATGGAAGAAAACGCAGAAAATTTAAATAATTTAATATATAATGTTTGTAATGTTGTTCACAATATAAAAGCGGCAGTTGCTGCATATACAAAAGAACATACAATAATTTTGAAGAAATTACAAAAAATTCAAAATCAACATATAATAGCGCTTCTTCAATGATTACTAGAAAAAAAGGAAGTGCTGGACTTTGGTAAGTACGGGCAGTAAATATTATTGAATAAGGAATAAAATTTTACTGAGTTGCTATTTTAGATAAAATGAAATCCGTATGTCGTTTCTGAGAAAACAACAGAGGGCTTCAAAACAATTCTTACCTGTTGTTTGTTTTGAATTTTGATTGTTTGTTTATGTTTACATTTTGATTCATATATTCAATATGTCAAATTTCGATCATTTCCAATGTTGCATTCGTGATATTTGGTATAATTTTGGTCGAATTTTGTTTACTATATTCTATAATACATGAAAAAGCACGGAAGCTCTCTCTCTGTATGGTTAATGCAATTTACTCAGTAAATGAAGCTTACTAAGTACGTAGTGGAAACATAGTATAAGATTATGTTTAATAATAAATGTTTATTTATATTTCATAACAAATGTCTAATTATAAGTGTTAATGTTTAGAGATGAATGTTAATAAATGTTCGCATGCGCAACGAGATATAGCCCGACTTCTGCTTTCAACTGTCACATACGATCGCTTAATTACTCTATTGGGCTATGCCAAAACATATGCATGTTATGTAGACTATCACATCATTATTGCCAATTTCGTATTTTTACAATTGTTTGGGACTTTTTGGTTGTGCCTAAATTTAAAAGATAATATATATATGTTCACTTTCAATTTGCCACCAAAAATAACCAGCAAGAAAAACTTATAGAGGCTATAATAAAATGTTAATTTGTTATTATATTATCTTAGAATAATTGTTAACAGTACTTACGCCTTTCCTTAAAATCGGAAAGTGTAATAATTAGATTATAAACGGTTTATAATCTAAGCTGTGTTGTATACTGCCCTTTTTTTTTCAAAACATATTAAAATTATGGTAATTTGCTCCTAAATGGTGCAAATTCTGAAATTTATTACCAAACAACACTGTTTTGCCACTGTTTTTACATAACATCTCCTATCGCTCGCGTTGCCAACCAAACTCCTGCAAAAACCTGGGATGCCAGCTCCACTCTTCACAAAAATTAAAATATGTGTATTTAATATGCACGTTGGGCATATTAAATGTTATTTCAGTTAATTGATTTGAATTGAAATTATATTTGAGTGTATAACGACTTTAATCATATTAAAAGCGAAAATATACGACCAAGACTGTTAAAAAACAAAATAGTTGGATTTCTATCAGTCTGCAAGATATATATTCCTTTTACACGTAAACATATGCCAAAAATACACCTTAGTTCACTAAGTCGGCAATTAAGTATGATATACAAAGTAATTCTAGCAAATGTAGTTGAAAGACTTTTGAAAGATGTTTAAAAGACAGAACGAAAGACAGTTTGAACAGTTTTCGCTATTCTTGCACAAAAAACTTTCAAAAAAATTATTATCATTTGTAATTCGAGGTAAAAAGTTATATTATGCTATTGCTTTATCATTAGCCTTAATTTTAATTTTAATCTGATTAAAACAAATTGCCATCAGTTTTAAAATATGTTAAATACTTTTTTGACATATGTCTTTTGTTGTGTTGTGTACATTAGGAAATATGAAAATTGTGAACACCAAAAATTGATTTTATTAATTTTAAATTTAAATAGAAAAAAACATAATGAATATTAGAAGGACAATGGTAATATATTTTAATTAATTAATTTATATAAGTATTTGTATTTATTAGTAATATAAGTTTAACAGATGACTGAAACTCAGTTTAGTGTCGAGTCATCTTTACATTTCAGTAGCTTTACTCCGTTGAACCAGCCGGCGCCGTCAAATGATGGCATTGGAGCGTCTTGTTCTGAGCTCATTTTGGCGAACATAGCATCTAATAGATTCATTTCTACTATTTTTCATCTAGTTTCTGCCACTTGTCCCTATCACTGCGGTCGATAAGTCCCACAATCAAGCGTCGCTTGACCACTATCTCCGCCATTGTTAATTTAGAAGTGGATGCTTCCTGTTCCTTGGGTTCATCGGTTTTCGTCCTTTTTGTTGCCGTTACTATCTTAGATGTGGACGCTTCCGGCTTTTTAATAATGTCGACTTTCGTCCTCTTCGTAGCAGTTTTCTGTTGAAGGGCAGCCTCATCTTTAAGCTTTTGACTCTTTCCAGAAGTACCTTCGCTTCGCTCAGAGTTTTATCGCTGCCTTGTATCTGGATTTGGCTCTTAAACTCTCCTTTTTTGGTCCAGCCCTTGGCCTACGAACGTCCTTAGCAGCTTCACCCGGAGAACGAAGAAGAGCTTCCTCTTCAATTGTGCTTATTCTAGCAACGCTCTCATGATCCGGGTCTACGGGGACTATGGCATCACTGCGTTGCATTGTATTCCTATTTTTTGAAATCGCGTCTTTGTGACCCAAGTTCACAGGGACTTTGACATCACTGCGCTGTTGTTTGGCAGTAGTAGTACAACTGCTGGAACCTGCTCTGATCCCAGCAGAGGTGCAGTCACTGGCGACGCGGCTTATAAGATCACCGCGCCCGACGGTGGTAGCAACTGCGCCTCTCACCGACGTTTGCACTGATATCCCAGCCCGACCTTCATCATTATTTAACTACATTTGGTTTTTTATGGAAAACCCTGACATTTTGCATTTTATGCAAACTACTGCCAGACAACTCAAAGTTATGACTAGGGAAGATGCTCACCTGCACTGACCCTGTACGCAGCATGACCACTACATATGAGACTCTTCCTTCATCTTGGCTAGACACATCACAGTCCTTGACATGCCGCGTCATATTCCTCATGTATTACATCCAAGATCTTCATGAATCGACTTGCCAAAAAATGGATGATGCCCATTGCCCGGTCAGCACCCACGAGGAGGGTTTACAACGAGGATTTTCGCCGACCGAGGTTTTTAAACGTAATACTTTTTAAAATTTTTATTTTTAACTTATTCATAAATATTTTTTTCCGGATATGGTATATATCCACTCCAATATGATTTGGACTTCAGAAAATTAGGATGAAACTAAAATATTTTTCATTAATAAAATTTTTAATTTTTGTATTTAAAGAAATGTGTGTAATTAAATAAAATAAATTACAAAATTAAAAATCATGTTTACTTTTATATAAAATAAAATACAATATAAAATGCTCACCAATAACATTTTGTTATTAATTTTATGCATTCATTTTTTATATATTTATATAAAAAAACTTATTTATAAAATTATATGCAGGTATTTTTGTATTTCTATATATTTTTCAACCACACATTTGTTTAAAATTCTTTTACTGCTCATATTTTTATTGATTTAGGCAGTGATGTCAAGTTATTCTTAAGCAACCAGAAGTTGATCTATTGGAGCATTCATGTCGAAAGAATACACCTAATATTATTATTCATAACAAAAAAAGTGGAGTAGTTTGCTTATATAATTGTTATAACTCCCGTATCTAGTCTGATAGAGATTTGCCTATTTGGCGCTGTAATCAACTTAGCTCGACGAAAGTCGAGGTTTCGTAGACACTTTAACCAAAAAACACTTGTATGAATTCAGGTTTTAAATTAGTTCTTTATTAGTTCTTTATTTACTATATTCGTTTTAATTAAAGTATTCATCCAAACTCTAAAAAATCAAACATTTTTTAAAGACTTTAAAAAATCAAAGCTACTTTTACTAAGTTGCTAATTATATCATATATTTCTCATTCATATATTTCAAACAAAATAGGCGTAAATTTGGTTGGGGTTTTGTGGTTAGCGAGAGACTGTTAAAATCAGACCAACGGTTTACGTCAGTGAAACATAATTTGTGATAACGCTCCTTCTATTCCTTCTACCTTCTATTCGACACTCGATGAAATTTATGACCGCAGTCCCCTCCATGACGAAGCGTAGTCCAAATATCGATTCAGATCACTACCATGTAGCAGTCCAGGTATGGATGCGGCTTCGCATCGCCAACAACATACGTTCCCGCACACAGTAAAAACTAGACGTCGGTAAGCTGTGATCACAAGATACAACCGAAGTGTTCG